TGGACCTGAACGTGGGTTTGGACACGCGAGAAAAATGAGTTTCTGTCATTGAATGATTGATGATATGGAAAATATTGATGTGAAATTTGGGCCCAGCAGGTGCTTAGGACATACGTACAAACTCGACTGAATGAGGGTGCTTTTCCCTGCCCGGGCACCTTGACGGCTGATGTGTTGAGGCGGGCTCGGACCGGATGCATTGGAGCACCCAGGGGCCAGCTCCTCTCAGCAGTCGGCGTATTACTATTTCGTAGGGTCCAGACGAATGGGAGCATGTCTTTGTAAGATGATTTGTGAACCGAAGAAGACCACGACAGTTTACGCCGCCGGGACTCAGATTTGACCATTGACTGCCTGTTGAAGAAAGTGATCGTCTATCTTCAGCAAAGGCTTTTTTACTCGAGTGACATATCCAATCCGTCTATCTGATGAGTGGGACAGAAGTTCCAAGTCCGGGAATGAGTAGGCAAACTCCGTAGCTATGCCTCTTAGGCATATCTACGCTTAAGTTGGCTTTCACTTATCAACCTGAAAGCAGGCGCTAACACGTATCAACGATCTTTGGCTTATAGATGACACTCTTGAGACAGGTTTTCTCCGTTGGCTGACCCATAACGATGAATATCAGTCACCAGACCCATTTTCCATCTGCACAATCGACCTTGATTTGGCCCTGTCATCTATCGAGCTGCGGTGGCAGTCAAAGAAAAGGCTCCTCAAAACACCGGACCTGTGGCTGATTCATTCGGCATTACCCGAAATAGCCACAATCCAACTTGCCACCCGCCACAATGTTGTCTTCAACGATCTCGCCGTTCAAATGATCAGATTTGGATAACTAGATGAAACAACCTTTCGTTGGTGATCGTGGAGTGCAGTAGTTACCGCAAAAAGCTATCTGAACGGAGCCAACCATGCAGTGTAACTCAATAATCACTGCTTTGTGGAACCGAAAAGACAAACGACGTTTATTGTGATGGCAAAGGAGAAGCTCCATGTACGATGGTCTTGTATGAGTCATTGCATGTCGAAAGGAATGATCTCAAGGGTATCAAACAAAGAGATCATTGAGCCTCGACAGCTGTGACGATTAACTCTTTTGTTGAAGCCCCGACTCGGAAAATCTGAGTGATGGGTGCACTGAGCAGCAAAAAGATTCGAAAGGGAGCCAAAGAAATTGAGGTGTTCGATGGTAAGCTAAGCCAAGAGGTATAATTCAATCCGTTCGGGGCTCTGGAGTTTGTCTGGAACTGATGGCACGGTGGACCCTGCCTGCCGAATAGATTACTGTGGCCCCGCAGCCAGTGCCTATCAATAGGTCTTTTCCAGGCCATTGAGGCCGGCTATTATAATTACGTCGGTGGTATCCAAACGGATGGATTCGATTTCCTCCAGAATCCCGGGAAGTCCGACCCGCGGCTATTTCCGCAATCGCAACGGAAGTCGGTCGTGCGCTCTTCGGAAACCGGGTGGGAACTAGCCTCACGTACAGCCAGTCCTGGAAACAGCCTTGTCATGTTGGATACCTCCCTCGAACTTCGATCCGGCGGAGGATCATGGTGGCGTTTGGAACTATTCACAATACGGTTAATGTGCTCGTCCGCCTAACCACTAAAACGAAAAACACAATTATGTCCGTTGTGGCGCGTCATTGAAAAGATACGTACGACTGTCAGTAAGATGAATAGTGGCTTTTTCCGAACATGTACCTCCGGCCTCTGGCCCGAAAAGAACAGATATGTATATATATCTAGAGTCCACCAGATAAAAAGACGCGGGACTGACGGCTGGAATGTTCGCAGGACGCGGACACTGTAGGACTCAGATTCAAATTCATATTACTTATGAGAACTCGGAGGCTTATCGGGTCTTCTGGGATATCATATGTACTACCTGAGAAGCCCCGGAAGTACGGATTACGAAGTTCTATTGAGCGTGTGTTGTTTCGAGCAGGGCAAGCCTCCGCTCTGAGAATCCTTCAAGTTGTCAGGTTTTGCGTCCTTACTGTTCGAGAAAAATGGGAGTCCTGACTGCTTGGCCTATCGTCTGATGGTCATGAGATGATCTGAGATACATTCGAGGGAGAGCGAAGCGAGCCATCTTGAAGCAGGGGAAGACAAGGTGGCTGATGTACGGCAAGCCCCGAAAGAACGAATAGAAACCGCCGAGCACCTGTTCGTGGGCAAAGAAAGGTCCTAATCACCGCGTAGCGTAAGCACTAGATCGTAAGGAGTCTCGAACACCTCCGCCCCTTCTTCTCACGGCGACCTTGTAGCCTCAAGGCGAATCCCAACACGATGCTATAGTCATTCTCAAGCATCTAGTCCACAGCTCCAGCGATGACAAGAACTCGCCTACTTGAATACAATTCTTTGCCTGCATGCATCTGTAAGGATCAGTGGGTCCACAAATACCGCCGTAGACTCGTCGCAAGTCCGTGTATGACAAGCAGGCCCACACATGGTGAGGTCAGTAACAGACCTATCGCCAAAACTAGTAGATGGAGGGTCCTTATGGCCGACCGTTCTTTAACTGCGAACGCTCCCATCTATTGCCTCTGAGCAACACCAGATCGGGAAATTCGGGCGCTGAGAGAACTCGCAAATGAAATTCTGACGTCGATGGCGCTCAGGCTGTATGATGGAATAGAGAAGGATCCTCTGCAGAAAGCGCGTATTGTCTTCATAGTCACTGACGTATGTCAATTCCCTGGTGTGGGTGGAGTAGAAGAAGTCTTCCCAGTCATAAGGGCCAAAGGGCCAGTTAACAGCAGAGATTCTGGGCCCATTATCCACAGAGACGCTTGCCCTCGTTGTTGCTTCCCACCCCTTGATATCGAAGCTTGTGTCGCCGACCTCTGTGTTGATCGCGGTCATAGCCAGGGTTATCTCCGTAAAAAGGTTGCGCGGTACCGTCTGTGCACATTTGAGAATCCGAGACTTGGTCGCTTTCGAAGGGGATATCTTGGCTGCGAAATGTAGGTGCTTAGGCTGAGTTTGAGGTAATGAAGGCGGCGGTCTCTTCTGTGACTTCCTCGAGGGCCGTCTGGTAGAGTGTCTGCCTCGAAGGAGACGTGAAAGTTGGTCGGAGCAAGCTTGGAATCTTCGGATGGTAGAAACATAGTTCAGATAGCCGCGCCTGATAGAATATGTGCGTTGGCAGCCACGAGCCACCCACACAGTGGAATAGCGTCAAGGGGGTAGAGGTTGACCGTCGTGGGGGGAAATGATCGAGTAGGTGTTCGCATGCAACCCTAGCGTATCGCCCGCAATTTCGTTGTGGTGGTTACGTTTCTGAGCAATTCCGAATCGAAGAGAAGAAAGGATTAGAACCAAGTTTAGATGCTAGAGTGGACCGGCACAGAATTGAAGCGACAGGAAGCTGAGGCAACCTTGGAACAGAACGATTGGCACGGGAGCGTGTCCGTCACGGCCCAGTAGCTGGGTCTAGACCGAAGAGGATAACAAGACCAAGTCCATGACGAGCTTTTCTCCATATCATGAATCAGAAAGCCTTCACCGCCATCTACAGCATCCTGCTACGTGGTGCCGTGAATTCTATTTTCAAGGTTCTTCTTACCGGAACCATGGCGAAGTGTTGAGGATCGTAGGTAGGGGTCCCGACGGTCGCTAATTGTACGTGAGCTAGTAGAGAGACAGAGCATGATCAGGATAGGTGTATTTGGATAGCAGGACCATTCGACCGCCGTTGGAAATCGAGTATCTCGGTCAAAATTCCTTTGAGATGCTCACCGGCTAGCAGAGAACAAATTCGCCCCCACTCCATTTCCTACGATCCTATTGAGGTAGAAAGTCAAATCTTGACCTGGGATCGAGCGTTTACAGGCTGTAGAGGATCCGACCGTGAGCTTGAGGCCAGCGATGATGGTGGACTCTGGAGGACGGATACAGCAAGGAATCTACTCTGACTCAGGGCACGTGGGGACGGCGAGTCGATCTTGTTCGGACTTTACCGGTGATCTTCGTTCGTAAACCCCTTGTCTAAGCCTTCCCTCGAATCGTTTTCTGTTCCCACTCCAGTGTGGTTCGCGGTCTCACGGGCTCGAATCCGCTAGGAACAATCGACGGGTCTCTGCGTCAACTCACCAGGCTTAGTCCACCTCCCGTTTTCACTCAAGTGCCATGACAGCTTTTTGGTCTATTAACCCCTGGGTAAGGGGTACCACATCTTCATCTGGGCCGGGTCTTAACGTTTCAACCCCCGACCACCCACAAAGCGGGTACGAGAAGATGACCTTGTCGTCCGACACAAACCACCAAACGCTCCACCAAAAAAAAAGTGCCATGACAGCCTGTGAGGAACTACATTGAGGAGTCTCGAGACGGGGGAAAGGAAGCACTTTGTGAGTATTAAACTATCCGGTGTCTTACCCACCAACTCGATGCTTTGTTGTGTAGGAGAACTCGTGGAAATTTACACATCATTCGCCAGGTTTGTGTCGCTCATTTCGCAGACCTGTCGCGGTCAGAAGATTTAAAATTCGACTTCGACGACCTCGAGCTTGAACGATATCAGTGAGGGATGCGGGGCCTTCGAACGTAGAGCCATGGGATCAGGACCTTTCTGTTATGTGACTGGGAGCCATCGTCTTCTATGTCCCAATACCTCCGCCCCGTCTTCTCATGATGGCCTTGTAACGAACGTCATCTCAGTACGTCGCTGTTGTCACCCTGGATATCCTCTGCTCAGTCCACCAGTCTGGCGCTAAGGACAGGCCCACTGAGTACCTTCTTTTACTGCTCAGACACTGCTATCATTTCGCTCGAATTCGCGCATACCCAAGCCGGTGACAGGCCCATCAAGTGCTGGAAGACCTTGCTCAACCCGTCATCATGCAATGCCGGAGGATGAGGAACCCATATTCATGTTGTCGTTATTTCTGCAATCTTTCTGTGCGCATTTGACTTGGGGGAAAAGAGGTATGACGGGAAACTTATAAAGTGCCTGAACGAAAAATAATCAAGAGTATGGAAGGATCATAGCAGCAACTTGTTTCGATCAAGTGACCTCGGGGTTCCAGTACGAATGGATATGGGCCCCGCGCGCTACCACTGCGCCATGCTGCTGATATTGCACTAAGCAAAGAGGCTATAGTATCATCACTCACTAGATAACCGTAGGTCAGATTCTTCTGTATGTGAATGAATAATTATACAGGAAGGTAATGTGATGTTTCCAGGAATTCACAGAAACCAAGTCGTATGACTCAAGGGCCAAAGCCTGCACTCAACGTTTATCCTTCGACCCGTAGTGCCGAGTGACCTATGTATGTCGACCGTCCCGCTTTTACCACACTCCATGAGGTAGCCGTGAGTCGTGACAAACAGAGCCAACGGAGAGTGACCAGCTCTACAGCATCGGAGCCCCCACGTTCTCGCCTCTACACATTTGACGCTGGAATCCGTCGAGAGGGTTACAAGGGTTGCAGCTGAAGAGGGTCAATGAAGAGAGTTGGTCGAAACTGGCGAGGAAAAATCTGAGATGGTCCGAAAAATGTTCATATAGGCATCGTGATTCGTATGCAAATCGGGATAGTTGAGTGAGAGAGACCCTGGGACAATAACGGACAGAGGTTGGGAATTGAGATGATGGGCGTTCTGAGTCAAAGCTCGAGCCTGGCTGTGTCAATGTTTGGCTTCACCGTTATGCCACGCGCTCTGATCTCTACCCTCATTGCTTGATGTGCTCTTCCCCGTCGTTTTTCTCATCTTGCTCTATTTTCCACTAAAACCCGCTCTTTTTTCGATTTGATAGGAAGATTGTGGTCGAGAAAGAAGAAGAGAAGTGAAATAAGCGAGTAGAAGAGACGAGTGAAGTCGGGGAAGAGAGCGTAACATTAGCAGAAGAAAATTTGCAGGAAATGTCGGGAAAGGCACCTCCAAAAGGTCCTCGGGCGTTGTTGGCGTCGATGCCAGGTGGTGGTCCGCCTCCTGGTCCTCCACCGCAGCAACAATCTTCGTCAGCGTCGGCAACAGCGAGTAGAATTGGCGCAGCACCTCCAACTGGTCCTCGAAGTCTAATGACTGGAGGTCACCATTATCGAGGTGGTGCCCCCAGAGGAAAGCCTTATATGAATGGGCATGCTCATGGTCCTCCGCCTCATCCTCGAAGTCATCCAATGAAGCCGGTTAATATTCCAGGACCAGGACCGAATGTTCTCAAACAACAACAGCAATCACCTGGCCCTCCAAATGTGCGTTTTTTGCCGTTATGTTCATCTCTTTTTAGCTCTGAATCAGACTTACGATCAAATTCGTGCAGGGATCGTCAAGCTTGGGACCTATTCCGAATCTCGTGAAGCCGCAACTACAACACCAACCGCCAAATGTGAACAATTTTTCTCGAATTTCGCGCGTTTCTTATTAAATATTTACTTGAATCTTACGTCTAGGGAGCAATAACGCTGGGGCCTACCCGACCTACGATATCAATCTCAATGGGAAAGAAATTGGGCCCTTCAGCGTCTAAACCACCACCTCAACCTGCGTCTGAACCTCCTCCTCCTCCACCACCGAGCGCCCCGCCTCCTCCACCGCCCCCCGCAAATTTACCTTTACCTCCTCAACCGGAAAGTCTGCCTCCTCCACCGCCACCTCCAGAATCAGCACCACCACCACCCCCGGGAAGTGCACCTCCTCCTCCACCGTCACCAGCCGTACCTCCTCCTCCAGATCTCCCACCGCCACCATTACCTTCGATTTTCACCAATACGCCCGGTCAGTACCCCAATTCTATCGAAAGATGTACCATTTTGCTGACTGTCACACTCCCACACTCCCAAAACGCGTTGTTCTCTCACATTTTGCGCGTTGAACAGACCAATCAACCGCACCTGCACCCATTTCGATCGCTCTTCCTACCCCAGCACGCGCTCCAGCAGGTCCGCCACCTGTTCAGTTGCACACTGCGGCTTCAGTTCCTGTTCCTGCTCCTGCTCCTTCTCCTGCGGTTTCGTTGACGATACCTTCGCCTTTACCTCGACCACAGTCGTCGTCGTCCAATGTTTTCCAGCCTCCACCTTCTCCTCCGCATGCTTCGGGGTCGACGGATAGAGAGCGTGAGCGAGAAAGGGACAGGGATAGGGATAGGTTGAGGGATAAAGATAGGGATTGGGAGAAAGAACGGGTCAGGGAACGAGATTGGGAACGGGACAGGGATAGAGACCGAGACCGGGAGCGCGAACGAGATCGAGACTGGGACCGCGAACGGGATAGGGATAGGGAACGCGACCGGGACAGAGGAAGAGAGCGAGAAAGGGAACGAGAACGTTCGGATTCTCGGGCAGGTTATGGTCACGGAGGATCAGGTAGATCGACACCGCAACATTTCTCGGTATCAAGGACGAGGTCACCTCCGCTCTCAGTAGTAGAGCAAGTTCCTCCTCCTCCTCCTCCTGCCTCCTCCGCCTAAACCGAAAACACCACCTCCGCCTCCACCGAAGTGGGATTTACCACCTTGGCCGCCGTGTCGTGTACCAGGGTCGTCTGCGTCTTCGTCTTCCTCTGCTTCAACTTCTGCTTCTGCCTCCGCTTCGTCGTCGAGTAATGTCAACCCGCCACAACCGTCCACGTCCTCCCCGAATCCTGAAGATTACACCTACTCACCGAAGAACCCACGGTCGCATCGAATAATCCACGATCCTACTTTCCCGCACGAGTATCTTAAATACCGGCAGATTAAGGATGCTCTCTGGAGGGAAAACGTCAGAAGAGGGACGGAAGAGAAGATGGAGCAGCAGAGTACGACTTGGGAGTATACAGCTATCCACGATTATTTCGAGCTTTTGGGTACTGCGATACGGAGGTCGAAGGGGAAGGGGAAGGAGAGGGCGGATCCGGATGTTGTGATGGAGGAAGGGGAAAGCGAGGAGAAGGTGGGGGATGTGGAGATGGGTGGTGTGGAGGGTGAAAGTTCGACGAATCCGATAGCTTCGTCTTCCTCGTCACAATCGAAGATGACACCTGAAGAGTTGGCGTATCTTGCGAAGGAGCGGGAGAAGGAGCATCGGTTGCAGTCGAGCAATGGGCAGGTGAGGGGGATGGGGAAGGAGGTCATCATTCGGTATGATGGTGAAGTTTTGGAGGATGGAGAGTGGTGTTGGGTGTCAAGAGAAGAGATGAAGTGGAGTGAAGGTGGTTTTGGAGACGATCTGGGCGACAATGAACCAGGGTGGTGGATACGAGAACCTAGGCCTGTACCAGAGGATCCAAGGAAACGGGGAGCGGAGAGGAAGTTCAGGCAGGCGTTTGTTGAGTGCAAGTATGAGGTACGTCTTTTAGTTTCTGTTTTTTTCTTTCTTCGTTCCCCCCCGCATTCTACATGACGCTTGCATGTCTAACGACGTGAGGCAGGCTGCCTATTACATTCCATTCTTTTTGATTGTTCATCGAACCTTACTAACGAATTTTCGTCACGCTTTTCTTCAACTGCCTACCGCCAATCAACACAAACCATTCAACAGTACGATATCAAAGTCTCTGCAGGCCCAACTCCGCCTACGAGTGTCCTTGTCACCAACATCGCGCTCTTGACACCCAATACTGTCATCAAGCAACATTTCTCCGCCTATGGACACATTGCATCTTTCGAGCCTCAAATCGACAAGGAGAACGGAAGCCCACTCGGCATCGTCCTGATTCGGTATACGAAACATGAAGAGGCGAAGAAGTGCGTCGAGAAGGAAGACGGTAAACGAAGACCATGGGGTGGTGCTGGGTATGCGAACTGGGGTGCGTCAGGACCCACCAGCACTATCAACCGATCGAAAGAGGGAGAGGAGATCAGCGTCATATTCGATGGTGATGGGACGAGGACGCAGGCTGTTGTGAAGGTCCTTGATGAGAGGAAGAAGGAGAGGAAGCGGAGGGAACGAGGGGAACTCCCCACTGTGACACTGACTCCGACACCGAATTCCAGTTTGCCACCCCTGACGCCGATACCAAGTGAGAGGGTCGATACGCCTAGCCATTATAGTCAAGGGAAGATGACGCCTCAACCGCCTCCTCCGAGTTCACAGTCACATTCGCTTCCACCGAAAGCGGTGAATGGACGACCTCTGCATCATCCGTTACCGTCGCGGCCTTTGTATGGTTCGACCCCGTCACCTTTTGTTCCTGGTAGCTCGACACCTCGACACAATCACCCTCCGGCACCACCTACGCCGATCAACGGGATGGGAGGTGGTAGCACCCCGTCGAGTGCTCATCCTCCTCATCCTCCGGCCCTTGGTCATAGTCATGGAACACCTTCTTTGGCTCTACCCGTCAAGCCACCTGCGAAACCTTTGGACCCCCTTCCTTCTGTGCCGATGCCGAGGACATTGCCCCCTTCGACGTCTTTCACAGCGGAGCGGATGGCTTCGACAGATCAAAATGGGAAGAAGTCGATTCCTGCTGCGTTGCTCCGTGCGAGACAGGATGCGAAGACGAAAGATGAGGAGAAGGAGAAGCAGATGAAGAGGAACTTGGAGGGGGACAAAGAGCCCGAGAAGGAACTTGATCCGAAGGAGAAAGAGAAGGAGAAGGAGAGGCCGCGTGGGAGAGGAAGAGATGGGAGAGACGAACTCATGGTTGAGCCTATGAGGCGGCGAGACCATAGGAGTTCGAGTCGGGATAGGGCATCGTGGCGGGATAAGGACAGGCATTCTGATTGGAGGAGGCGAAGTACGAGTCGGGGACGAGGTGCGAGGAAGGGGAGTCCTATTCGGTCTCGTACGGAGTCGCCTACGCCTGGGTATGATGATCTACCAGAGGATGATTGGGAGATGGACCATGGCGAGCTCATGAAGGAACTCTTCAACAATCGTCACATGCATGTCTGGGTCGCGCCTTCGGATGGTGGTGACATTGAGCAGTGGGTGAAGCAGATGAGGAAACCGCAGCTCGAAAACTTCTTCAAGAATCTTGAGATTTCGAAGGTATGTGTTGCATCCTGCGATTCTCCCCCGTTCGTCTTTGACTCACGAGATCCATCTTCGTTGTATAGATGATGAAATCTGACAAGGGTGTTTTCTTCACCTTCGAAAGAGACAACCTCGCGCACCGTGTCGTCAACGTCTCCAAAGTTG